GAAAAAAAAATTTCGAAGAAAAAAACACTTTAAAACCCAACAGTTTTTAAATATACTCAGAAAAAAAAAATTAAAAAAAAAATAAAAAATATGGATCTAAAATATGGAAAAATATAATTTAATAATTTTTTCTGGCTAATTATAATAGTATTTTAGGAAAAAAATTGGATGATTTTCATAAAAGTGATATAAAAACTGTTAATTTTTGCACATGACTTTACTGTATTTTTTAAAGATTTCAGTAATTATCTCAGAAACTGTTAATTAAACCGCAGGAAGAAAGAGCCTGCAATGGTAGCATATGAGATAGAGGGCAGGTGGATAATTATAAAAGTAAGACACTAAACAAAAATATCATAAAACCTTGGGTAGGTAGGTTAAAAGCGTAGGTACTTTTAGAAAGGTGAAGGGTTCTCAAAATAAAAGCGTACATACTTTATGGACAACATCTTTCCTAATACAAATACAAATATTTGAAGAGCTAAGTGCTAAAAGTATTTAAATCACAAAAAAAATGGTTTAAGAAAATCTTTCTTGATCAGTCATTTTAAATTCTTATTTTGAAGTGTTTCTGATCAAAGTTAATTTCCTCAAAACATTTATTTTGTGACTTGAGTACTTTTAGCACTAAGCTCTTTATTTGTAGTTAAGTATAAAAAAAAATACAAAGATTTTTTAGAGACAAGACTAATATAACCGTAAACTTGATAAAAGATTAAAAACAAGTCTTTTAACAAATTTATCCTAAAAACAAATTATTAGTTTAGAGTTACAAACAGAAAAAAAAAGCACAAGCCTCTTGGATTATCCTAAAAAAAAAGCACAAGATAATATAGTATAGGAATAGCAAATACATTTTAATTAATATTGCTCCTACTATATGCTCCTTTAGTTGTTGTTGACTTGCTTTTTTTGTTTTCTTGGTAGTTTGAAAAATCCATGCCTAAATTTTAAAAACTTATTAAAATTTTACAATTTTAAGAAAATCTATCTTGATCAGTCATTTTAAATTCTTATTTTGAAGTGTTTCCGATCAAAGTATATTTCCTCGAAACATTTATTTTGTAACTTGAGTACCTTTAGCACTAAGCTCTTTATTTGTACTTTTAGTATAAAAAAAAATACAAAGATGTTTTAGAGACAAGACTAATATAACCGTAAACTTGATAGAAAAATAAAAACAAGTCTTTTAACAAATTTCCTTAAAAACAAATTATTAATTAATTTAGAGTTACAAACAGAAAAAAAAAAGCACAAGCCTCTTGATTTTCCTAAAAAAAAAGCACAAGGTAATATAGTATAGGAATAGCAAATACATTTTAATTACTAATATTCAAGAAACTTTTCTGAAAATTACAAACAAGCCAAATTAGCCCATTTTTACCAGACCACCAGATAGTCAGGTGCTCAGCACATCTCTATATGTATAAATATATTGATAAATAGACACTCCTTAGAGAGTCTATTGTTGTAGTCATTAAAACAGGATGAATACAACAACAGGATGACTACAACAATAGGCCACCACCTGTTTATTAAGACCCGTCCTCGTCCTAATATCTCTACATTTATTACATCTGGAGAAATATCCCACCCATCCATCCCACTTTGTATTAAGCACCAAAAAGTAACTTGACGGCAATGAAACTGAAACATTTTTGACCTAATCAAATTGCTCCTTTAATTGATGTTGACTTGCTTTTTTTGTTTTCTTGGTAGTTTGAAAAATCCATGCCTAAATTTCAAAAACTTATTAAAATTTTACCAGAGGTGAGTTGAATTATACAAATGCAAATGTATAGGCTAATTTTTTTTTTCAAAAGTTGTATTAAACAATATAGTTAGAGTTATCACAACAAATTGTATTTTGATTTTTTCTAAAACAGAAATATTATATTTTAAAGAAATATTTTAAAGAAATAAATATTATAATTTTCTTATTATATTTTTCTAGAAAGACCAGACAATAATAATTTTTTTGTAAAATGGTAGATATTGGTTTTCTTTTTTTATCCCATAAAACTTTTATCACTTATTTGATGAAAATAAATATGAAATTTGTGATAAAAAATGGAATGCCAATAACTATGAATCTATCATATCTGTCATTTCCATGTTGGCAGTCAAGAATGCAGCATGAAAAAAATATATATATATATAAGGGAATTCCGGAGAATGGATAATATTTATGCTTAAAATACATCTTATGATTTCTCTTCAATATTTCTGGATAAAATTATTCTACATAAAGGTATTGGAGTTTTTTTTTTTTTTAAAAAAAACAATTTTTTAAAGTTATTTTTGGTATTTGTTAAACATCATCAGGGTTTCACCTAGGTTCTAAATGAAAGATTTTCCCGACTCAACTCAAATATATAAGTAACTTCCCTGACTTTCTTTTTCTTGAAAAACAATCTTTGCCCCCCTGACTTTTTCCAAAAAACTACCCTTTACCGCCTGACTCATATTATTGAAATAATTATAAATAGTCTCCAGAAAAAACTCACATTGACACTAGCATCTAAAAAAAAATTATTCACATTGGCATGCAATGACACTCACATATATAATAAAACCGCATATATGACTGATCATGTATGTTTTTTAATTAAAGGCTTTGAATCTTGAAAACCAATTAATTTATAAAGAAAAGGAATAGCTACAATAAAGTAATATCTTTTAAAAAAAGGGAGATTAGTTTCACGTTATTTTCTTTTTTTTTCTGTTTCTCTAACAAAATTTGAACTGCTTTTTCTATAATTTTAATTTCAAGACATTTATTTTCGCTCTTCCTTTTCATATGGTTTCCTTTGTAACTCCAAATCTTTTTTTCCTTCTGTCTCTTATATGATAAAAATAAACTCAATATCTAAACTGTTGTAAAAAACTAGTAAATTTTTTTTTTCCTTTTAATCATCAATGATTTTGGTTAAAATTTTTAACTGATGACTGCTTTGATTTTTCTTAGCATTTTTTCTCTTTTGATCAAGGTCTAGCTATTATTTTAGGCACGCGCCTTTCGCAAACCTTATAAACTTGTTTGTTAGTTTTATTGTTGAAGGTATCAGGTTGTTCTTTTACACATGGTCTACTCGTCATCTTTCTTTATATTATTGGTTATACATTGATTACAATCTTAATAACACAAAGTCTTCTTTACCATTGTTTTACTATGACTTGTTACTAAAACCAATATAAGAGCAAAATAGATTTTAACTTTTTGGTATATGTATAGTGGGTTTATGAAAAAAAAAAATTATAAAGTCTAGCGCTCTTGCAACTTGAAGACTCTACTATTTCGAGATTTCAACAAAACTGAATATTATGGCAAAACTTTATCTGCTAAAGTTGCATTAAAAATCTTCAATGAGTCAAGAGTTGTTTCATCTTGCTTCGTAATTTGACCAGTTGCATACAGAATTTGGATCTATCGATTGGATTGGTCATATACAGGAACTTGAATAAAAACACATTTGCAATTCATACCATGCAAAGATGTAATGAACTTTTTCGGGTGATTTTCTCCAATAAAAAAATTACCATATTTGCAGCGCCCTTCTTTAACTTTTTTTACATCTGCAGATTTCACTTTATCTTGACCTTATAAATTCTGAAGTTTTTCTTAAGTTGAAAATCTAAATGAATATCTTTTATCTCTAGATAAATACTTTTATCAGTAATATCAAGCTCTAAAAAGTTAAGAACAGAATAACATTTAAGAAAAATATCAGTTTAAACAACCAACTGAATTAGGGATCTATGCAGCATCTCTAGGTCCTTGCTAAGAAAAGACAACATAGGATCATCTGTTCTTTGATGACAATGTTTACAAATTAACTCAAACCAGCTTCGTCTCTTTCCAATTGCATTTCACTGAGAACCTTCCAGTTCACATTAGAACCATGCATAGGCAGTTGTACTTGTTTAGATAAATCCAAACCAGATACACTATTTAAATAACTTTGTTCAAACTTTTAACACAACAAACAGCCAGCCTGATGGCAACAGTCTGATGCACAGACTTGTATTTTTAAAAAGTCCCTGTAGTAAGGTGCAATTCCATAACTAACATTGAATTTGTTTTTGCCAAGTTAAAATATTTGGTACAAAAAAAGAATTAAAAAAGCGAAAGCTTTAAAAAATTGAAATAAATGTTAAAAATAAGATTTCTTATTTTAAATAATTGTAAATATTTAGCATTAAAATTTACAATAATAATTTATTCATTTAAAATAATAATTTAAAAAAGAATTTTTTTATAATTTTCAACGAACATTAGGTATTAGATTATTAAAACTTATATATAAAAAGAAAATTTTAAAAACATTAAACACTTAATAAAATAATTTATATATAAAATGATTAAACTTAATCAACATTTGACATTTCAAGATTTCATTGACAAATCCTAAAAAACATTTACAATTTATTACAATTCTAAGTTAAAAAAAAAAAAAAAAAAAAAAAAAAAAAAAAAAAAAAAAAAAAAATTTAGATTTAGTAATGTTTTATTATTCTCTGAGTCACTAAGAAAAAAAGCAACTGTTTTCTCTTACCACTAAGTAAATTCCCTGATTTTTACTAAACCAGTTTAAAAAGACACTTTTGCTTTGACTTCCCCTGAAGGTATAAATCATGATTGTTATTTTATGTTTACCATGGTTAAAACAGAACACAAATTTAGCTCAGCCAGTGTAACCACTAGTTAAAAATAAGGGCAAAAATAAGGATTTCAATTAAACTTAAAGAATAATTTTAATTTGTCATGAAATTTAATAACAAAAAGCAAAAATTTTCATATAAAAAATATAAAAAACATTCTATACAGAATCTTTTTTAAATAAATAACATAACACCAAAATGATATTAGATATATAGCATATGCTTTATATCATTTTGGACATATTTTTCATTGGGAACACTCTTTTCTATAAAAATGTTTACTTCACATGCAGTAAATTAAAAAGCTAGTATTGTAAAAAACATTTTTAAAAAAATTATTTAACATTGCAAACCTTCAACAATTTTTCCATTTCTAAATTGAAAGTTACAACATAATGCACTCTGTGAAACATTTTGCTCTATTATTCTTGCATTTGCATATGTGGCCAATATGTACTTATTTTCTGTTGCAGCAGCCGGATTTAAAGCTTCAGCAGTGTTTGGTTGTGCATCAATTTGCTGTGCATCTATTTTTAAACAAACAAACAAAGCTATATTTACCAGGTTATCAAGTATATTATCTAGTATACAACATACAAAACGGTTTTTTTTAATGAATTTTCATAATTTTAATTTATAAATTTCATTCAACAAACTAAAGTATAATTTCAAAACTTGGTACATATTTGATTAAAATAGGTAGTTGCATACATATTTCAGTAAACAAATTTATTTCAAGAGCAATTTTCTAAATTTACATTCTAAACTTGGTAAACGTTTATAATACACTTTTAATTAAAAAATAAAAATAAAAGATTGAAAAGAAATAAGTATATTCTTATATCGGCATCATATATTTTACAAAAAAGAAAGGTAAAGAAAAACTTCACACCTAATAAATGCTCAAAATTTAGAGAAGAATTATCTTCACTCATTTTAATCTAAAGAGTATTACAAAATTTTGTAGAGCGAAGCTGGTTTTAGTACAATTCGGAGGGTTCTGTTCCAGAATTCAAAATGAGATATTGGCTAGCGGTCGTTCGTATAATTCAGAATAAGGTACACTTAAAGCGCATGCGTATCAACCGT